GATAATAGTTTGAAGCCCGCCGATTTGTTGACGAGCTTGTCGATATTAGGAAGGGGGTAGGCGTCCTTAGGACATGCCCGGTTGAGATCAGTGTAGTCAACGCACATGCACCACTTTCCATTATTCTTTTTAACGAGTACAACATTGGACAGCCAGGTTGAATACCGGGCTTCCGAAATAAAATTTTCCTCTAGGAGGTCTTTTACAGCTTTTTCGGAAGCCGCCGATTTTTTGGGGGATTGCCTACGTCTACGTTGTGCTACGGCCTTGGCGGCGGGGTTGATGGAAAGTTGGTGGCATGCGACTTCGGGGTCGAGTCCGGGCATCTCGGCGGAGCTCCAGGCGAAGAGATCAGCATTTTCCCGGAGGCAAGCTTTAAGCTGCTTCCTCGCGAGGTCGGGCAGGTAGGCTCCTATCTTCACGGTCTTCGAGGTGTCGTCGGTCAGGGTGACTATCTCGAAGTCTCCATTCGGGATGGGGCGCATTGGGTAGGTGGGTTGCTTGTTGGTTGCTGGGAGTGTGTCGTTGATGCTGTCCTCGGGTTCCAACTCTTCACTGAAGCGGCTGTCAAGGTCCACTTATTCGACCTGGCTCTTTGGTTTGGCTTCTGGCGCGTTGGGAGGCGCCGCTTTCTTGGCTGGTGCGCCGACAATACTTGATCCCTTTAGAGCGGCCTCGACGCATCGGCGTGTGGCATCGATGTCTCCGTTAAGGGTGACGACGACTCCTCGCCTAGTATAGTATTTCATCTTGAGATGTGTCGTGGAGGGCACAACGGTGAGCTCGGTTATCGTTGTTCTGCTCAAGATGCAGTTTTACAAGGACGGGCAATCAACAACCAATAAACAGATGTTGATTTCTCTAGTTGTTTCCTTTTCTCCGAAGATGACGTTCAGCTCTACTTATCCCCATGGCCTTGTCGTTGCACCGTTGAAGCCTTGGAGGTCGGAACCCAGATATGGGGATAGATTGGTCTCATCGAGCTGGAGAGTGGAGAAGAGGTGTGTGTACATGATGTCCACTGAACTTCCTCCGTCGACTAGGATGCGACGAACATCGAAATTCTCCATCCGTGCCCGTATCAGGAGAGGGATGTCAGCATTGGGAGCACCACCGGGGAGTTCCTCGAGGTAGAATGTGATCGGGTTGGATCATCCTCGAAACTTCTCCAGGCTGCTCATTTTGCTGGAACCATTTGTAATGAGTTATTCGAATTTTCGTTTCACCGATCCTACGGATATTTTGGTCAGGGGCCCTCCCGAGATGAACATTGCTTTTGGGAAATACTCCCATCGGCTATTTAGGCGTACCGGCTCTTCGGGAAGGTCGAGTTCAGAAGGGAGGCCTAGTTCCCTGAGAGTGAACCAGTCCTCTGTTCGGTTGATGTTGAGGGCGACCTGGAGGCCACTGACGACGTTGGGAGTAGGTAGGTTGTAGGCCCTTTTTGCTTCGAGAGCCTCTTTTTGCTGCGGGGGCTCTCCTCCTCGAGTGTACCGTTTTAGATGCCCGTCTTTGATTAGTATCTCGATCGCATCTTTTAGATGGATGCATTCCTCGGTAACATGGCCGTGACACCTGTGGAACCGACAGTACTTTGATTTATCCACGTTAGGTTTTGGGGCTGTTTTCTTGGGAAAATGGACGCGACCCTGGACGAATTCTGTTTTGGCGCATCCGGCCAGTATCCGCTCGCGGGGAGCGATTAGAGCTGTATACTCCGTAAAACGACCAGTCGGGCTGCGCTGCTCACGGGGTTCGCGGGGACGGTCCTCCCTTCTTCGGTCTCCTCCCCGTCGGTGATTGGAGGCTCCATCTTCTTGGGACCCCCGGGAGGTTTCTCGGTCTCGAGTCTCACGGGCAGAGTTGGCCGCCTGGGTTTCCTTAAAACGAATGTAGTGTGTGGCCCTGTCGAGGAAATCCTATAGTGAGGTTGGTCGGTGTATGGTCACGGCCTCATAAAATTTGGATTCCCGTCGTAGGCCCTGCTCCATGAGGTAACACTTCATTTCGTCTGACATGGTTACCTGGACAGCTTCCCGAGTGAATCTTTCAATGTATTTTCGGAGAGGCTCATCGGGGGCCTGGATTATGGTGCCCAACGCGGCCTCAGTCTTCGGATGGAATCGGGATGTTGTGAAGTGCTTCGAGAAGAGATCCTTCAGGACCCTCCACGACGTGATCGATTCTGGCTCCAGACTTTTATACCACGTCATGGCACCCTTCCTTAACATTGTCAGGAAGAGCCTGCACTTGATTTCTCCTTGGACATTACGGTAATCGAGCATGGCCTCGATATCCTCCAGATGGTCGTCGGGGTCGGTAGTGCCGTCGTAGGTCGAGAGCGTCGGGGGCTTTTCCATTCCGTGAGGGATGGGGGCCGCCATGATCTCGCGGGACAAGGGGATCTAGTAATCATCCTCGTCGCTGAGAATCGGAGACTGAGGGGGTGACCGTACCGGTGGCGGAATGGCCTGATTACGTGGCCTCTGATGTCTGGCCGGAGGGTCGACCCTATGTTGTTTAATCGAAGGTTCTCCTCTGGTTTGACGTTGTTCCCGAATTCGTCTCCTTGGTGATTTGCTTCGTTCCCGCGCTACTGCGGGTTAGGGCCTCTCTAGCGCTGGTTGGCGATTCTTGGGCTAAGGAGATGGACTCCTCGAGTTACCGTTTTGGTCTTCCCGCGGGGGGGGACCGTAGCGACGCTTCTCGCTCCAGTGCACCGATGCGAGTGCTCTATTGGAAAAGCAGTTGATTGGTTTGGTTGATGGCCGTAAAGAGGGCAGCCACTGTCGAATCCGCTCCAGCCGAGATAGGGATGGGCTGGAACGCTGGCAGGCTCCTCGGCCTTGGAGCATTCTGATGGGCAGTTTCATCGGGAGAGGGGGAGGCGGTGTGGTCGTCCCTCTCATCGGTTTCAGGATGTTGGGACGTCTCCTTCTGCTTGCGACCGTTTGCGCCAGGAGCGTGGGCTAATTCGAGGACGGTATCACCGTGAGGCGGGTAGACATGACCGTAAAGTGATTGGGGAAACTTTGGTTAACTGCTCGGAGTAACGGGGAAGTTTCAATTTCCCACAGACGGCGCCACTGATCTGACCTGATCAGAAGGAGGTCACGGTCTGGCCACGCTCTGCTGAGCTGCTTCCAGTTCACCTGTCTTGAAATGAGGTGGGGGTGTACCTGTAAGACACTCTAATGCCAAAGTAAGAGATTTGGACAGAGCGATTGCAAATACAGAAAGGGTAAGAAGTGAATACCTGATCCTCTTGTGGAAGAGGGTATTTATAGAGAGACCCCAGCGCTGCGCCAATGGTCATTTGAGTTGGGTTGGATGACCAGGCTCAACCCAAAGGACTGCTAGGGCTTACATGGCGTAGTGAAGACCAGAACGTGGTCTTCGCCCTAGTTCAACTGCTCCTTGAACTCCGGAAAGTGACCCTGCTCTTTCGGAGGTGGGCAGTTGGTAAATGACGTGTCCCCGCGGAGAGGAGCACGTGGAGTACGTGTGAAGGACACGTTTGTCCTGCTCGACAGAGGGAGGAGGTTCTGCCCGCGGAGGGCGTCGTGTGTCGGATGATCACGTTCCCGAAAAAGAGCACGTGCCCGACAAGGAGTACGTGCCCGACAAGGGTCATGTGCCCGGCAAAGGCATCGCGTGCCCGTCAGAATACTTTGGGCCTTCGGGGAGAAATAGGATTGGGCCTGCTCGACTGAGTCAAGGCCCAGTCCAGAACACTATCATATCTGCTTATTCACAACATGGTCAGGGCAAAGAAGCTGTGCACTGTTTTGAGGAAATGCAAATCTCCCCCGAAAACAAACCAAACCAGGCTACATTTACTGCAGTACTTTCAGCTTGTAGCCATTCAGGTTTAGTTGATGATGCTACCCATATTTTTTATATCATGGTGAAATTTTATGGATTTGTGCCAAGTGTTGATCATATTTCTTGCATTATGGATATGCTGGGTCGCAGTGGTTACCTTGATGAGGCAGAAAGAGTAATTACAGATGGATATTTCGGAGCACACTCCAATGTGTGCTGGTCATTAAGAGAAGTCTAGCAATCTTTCTTCCTAATATTAAATTACCATGTACTGCACAAGCACTGAACAATGACCAACACACATTGGAGTGTGCTCCAAAATATCCATATGTAATTACTCTTTCTGCCTCATCAAGGTAACCACTGCGACCCAGCATATCCACAATGCAAGAAACATGATCCACACTTGGCACAAATCCATAAACTTTCACCATGATATAAAAAATACGGGTAGCATCATCAACTAAACCTGAATGGCTACAAGCTGAAAGTACTACAATAAATGTAGCCTGTTTTGGTTTGTTTTCGGGGGAGATTTGCATTGCCTCAAAACAGTGCACAGCTTCTTTGCCCTGGCCATGTTGTGAATAAGCAGATATGATAGCATTCCAAGTGATTGTATCTCTTTCGACCATTGCATTAAATACACTCAACGACCTATCTAAAGATCCACATTTGGAATACATTGACACCAGGGCATTACCCAAAGAGATTTCTGAATCAAAACCGTGCCGTAGTAAGTAACCATGAACCTATTTCCCATGATCCATGTCTAAGATGCAAGAGCAGATGCTCAAAACAAGACTGAAGGAGTAGGCATTTGGCTTGAGATTTGTATTAAGTAATGCAGAGAATTGCGTTAACCCTTGGACTGGGCATCCATTCGTCAAGAAACCGGATATGATACCATTCCAGGATACCAAACTTTTATAGGGAAGATCGGAGAAGATTTGAAAGGCACACTTTATCTTTCCATTTCTAGAGTATGAAGAAATCAATGCATTCCAAACTTCAACTTTAATAAGTCCATTTTTGCAAAGGAGGGAGTGGAACATCTCAACCATTTGTAGAGAGTCCAATGCAGCTAGCAAGCTTCCATAAGTAAACTCATCTGGTTCAATTCCTTCTCTCCTCATTTTCATATAGGTCAAGATAGCTTCCTCATTAAAATTCTCTTAAAAAAACATCGAAATCATTACATTCCACGAAACAAGATCCCTATTTTCTTCCATTCTCTTGAAAACTTTTCGAGCCTCATTCACCTCCCCAAAGCATGAATACATGGTTATAGTCGAATTGTCGACAGCAATATAGTCATGATCAAACCCCATTTTAATAGCCAAAGCTTGTGCTTGACACCCAACTCTCAAAGAACAGCAGGAGCTCAACACACTCACAAAAGTAACTTCAGTTAAACAAATACAAGCCCTATGCATATCCCTAAACACTACAAACGCGTCTTCAAAGCTTTCCATGCCCTCAAAACCATCTATCATTGCATTATACATAACATGATCACGGACCCCATCTTCCGTTTCCTCAAATACCTCATAAGCATTGGCAACACATCCACAGTTAGAATACATAGTAATAAGAGAATTAACCACATAAGTCCTAACCAAAAACCCAGTTTTGAAAACAATAGAATGAACATGCCTTCCATAATCCAAAACCTCCAAAGAACACAAACTCAAGATAGTAGCAAATGTGTAATTATTAGGCCTAACATTTATCCTAAACATATCTTTAAATAACTTAAAAGCAACATCTTCACGTCTATTATCACTGCACCCAGTAATAATAGCATTCCAAACAGCAACATAAGACTTGGGCATTTTATCAAATACATGAAGTGCATAATCAACATGAATCAATTTAGTGACAACAGATAAAATGGTGGTCCATGAATACACATATGTGTATAAAACATCTTCAAAAACGAGTTGAACTGAAATAATGTCATGGGCTTTGGAGTAAAGAGAGAGGAGGGAATTGGCGACATGAGAATGGGCTTTGAGGCCTGTTTGAATTGCGAAGGAGTGAAGCTGGTTACCGAAGGTGGTGACATGGCCGGTGTTGGCGGTGGCGGTTATGACGATTGAAAGGGTGTAGTGATCTGGTTTATAGAAGTAGAAGGAGTGGATTTTGGTGAAGAGTTTGAGGGAATCGGAGAATTGGTTAGTTCTTGTGAGGTGTGAGAGTTTGTGGTTGAGTTGAAGAATTTGTTGGTTTGAAAACCAGGGTTTCATCTGTCGTATGTTTTGTTATTGCATGCATTGCCGTAAGAATAAACAATGATGCTTAAACAAAATCAATGGACTTGAAGGCGTTCAACTTAGCTTTGTTGGCTTTTTTATGATAATAGCTCACAAATATATATATATATATATATATATATATATATATATATATATATATATATATATATATATATATATATATATATATATATATATATATATATATATATATATATATATATATATATATATATATATATATATATATATATATATATATATATATATATATATATATATATATATATATATATATATATATATATATATATATATATATATATATATATATATATATATATATATATAGCATTTTTGTTTTGATATTATTTAAAAAAATATTTTGAAAAAAACGTAATGGATATCTTTATATTTAGTTGGTACAAATATTTTTATTTTTAATATATAAAACAACAATATTTAATATTTTATCATATTTTAATATTATTTTATTTTAAAATAAATGAAAATTTTAAATTTACTTACATTAAATGTACTAATATATAACCGAAATTATTGGATATAAAAAAATTTATATTTAACAAATCCAATTTTATTGAAGACGAATAAAAAAGTTTGTTGCCTAAATTAAATTTTTTTTTATAAATATTTTTCATCAGTTAAAAATATTACATAGATTATTTTTAAAAAAATGATAATTTATACATTGAGATAAGAGTAATGTTTTTAGTATCTTTAAAATCTTGCTACAAAACATATTCATATCAAAATGACTAAAAATTTCAAAAAATACTTATTTGTTTACTTTTTTAATTGTTTTTTAATTAAAAAAACCTGATTGATTCTAAATTAAATACCTCATATATTTTTTTTCATGGCAAGCACCTACTATATTAAATATATTAAGCAAAACACATATTACATGTGTCTTTCTAATAAAAAAATGTCGGCAAAATAACCTTTTCGTCCCTTAACTTTAGCTCGGGGTCCATGTTGGTCCCTTATCTTTAAAAAGTGGCAAGTTGGTCCTTTAACTTTTAAAATGGTGTCACGTTTATCCTTCTGTGTGTTGCCGTTAGTCAAACTTTGAAATTTTTTTCAAGTTTGTCTAGGTGGAGCTGCTTACGTGCCATGTTTGTCCAGGTGGAGCTGCTAACGTGGATATGAAGTGTCTTAGAGGAAGAAAAACAATTATAACTATTCCATTACCCACCATTACCCAGACCAGAAGAAGGCACGACAAGGTGGAGTTGCTTGGAGAAGTGTAATCATATCTTGGAGTTTTGGAGAATTCATTGAGTCATTGAAGACGATTCAAGGTTTGCAGACGCGAAAGATTGAGGGTTTTCTGATTTAGGGTTTTCTGATTGAGGATTGAAGACGATTCAAGAGACATAATCAAAAGGTTAGTTCATTTCTCTCTAATTAAGGTTTTTTTTGACACAATTGACAGTTATAATTGGTTTCCTGTAATTCTGCTTATGCATCTTCTTTACCCGTTCTTTTCTCTGTCATGTTTATGCTGTTACACATGTATCAATGGTTTTAAAATCCAGCTAAATTTTAGATATCATATAAACTAAAACAACATGGAGAATAAAAATTTTATAGTCTCGAGAATGGTAAAATTTGTCAAACTTCTTGAGAGACAGCAGACATATTGGCGTGTTTATCATCAGAACAATTTCTCTAATGCTTCAAAGAGATGTTAATAGCAAAACTTGAATGGCTAGTATATAGTATTTTCTGTATATCTGTCTGTAATATGGTTTTATTGTGTTGAAAACTCTTATTTTGTTGAGAAGTGAGCATCAGTTCTTGCTTTACTGAGCATATTTCTTATTCAGCATTTCAAATAAAAAGCTATAGAACTTTTTATGATACTTATGACAAAATTCTTGTTTGTAGGTATGGTAACAGTATGATGTTACCGCCTTTATTTCCAACAAATAATTCTTATGAATCAAAAAAATTATCTGAAAATACAAAGACTACTTATCAGTGTGATGGAAAAAACCAAAAAGAGGATAGTAACACCTATCTGGTGATTGGTCAGTCTGTACAAATTGAGGCAAAATTTTCGAACAGTCGACATGAATTCTTTCCAGCCGCCACCACCGGGGACATGAAAGGAGCACGGCTAAGGGACGGTGAAGCTCCTAATGCTGTACCATCACATTCAAAGTAAGTTCCAATCATTTTGTTATGGTACATTGGTATTCGACTGGTTAGGTCTTTAAATTGTTGACTGGTGTCTCAAATTTATTTCCATCTTTGCAGATTACATTAACTGCTTCTTGAGGAACGTATTGAGAATGGTTATAGTAATCCAGCTCGCCTAGTGAAGCTGAAGAAAAGACAATTGAATGGACCTGCTGTTGAAGCAAAATCTGGGAAAAGTTACATGGAGAAATTTCTAGAAACTCCCTCGCCTGATCCAAAAATGATTTATGAAACTTCAATCTTTCCGCTGTTAGTGAAACCGACACCAGATGATTCTAGCGAAGCAGGGATTAAAATTTTTGAAATCAGTAGCATTAAAAAGTCGATTGGAGATGAAAACTCTTGTCATGCGTGATGATCCATGTTCATGAAGACGGGGTTTCTGACTGCTCAGACTGCTCATACTCCAACTCAGATTGCTCAACAACCTAGCCAACAATCAGCCCAACTCAATCATACTCCAACTCAGACTGCTCAACAAACTAGCCAACACACTCCTATCAGTTGTATTAAAAGTTTATGTATTTTCCTGTTGTCATGAACAAGTTTATGTATTTTGCGGTTATTTTGGAACAATTTTATGTATTCAGCTGTTATTTTGGAACATGTGTATCAGTTGTGGAACAAGTCTATTTTATGGAATGTATTACAAGTTTATGTATCCTGCTGTTGTTGTTTATATATCCTGCTGTTGTTGTTTATGTATCCTGCTGTCATGAACTTTATGTTAAAAGGAATTGGATTTATATACAAGTAATAAACGATAATGCATTCTGGTCATTAAAAGGAATTGGATTTAACTGATCTGACATTAGATATTGTTTTCTAAGTGAGACAGTAGATATCGTTATGCCATCATTTGAATCATTTAGCCAAACCCACCTAGTAGTAAGAAAATGCATTGGTTGTTCTTGTCTGTCCAGGTTCTGCTATTACATTCTACTGTTGTTGTCATGAACAAGTTTATGTGTTATAATTTGAACATGTTGTACTCTACTGCTGTCATGAACAAGTTTATAGTCTGAACATGTTGTACTCTACTGCTATCATGAACAAGTTCTACAGTTGTTGTATTTTACTGCTGTCATGAACATGTTGTTTTGGAAAGTATTACAGGTTTATAATTTGAACATGTTGTACTCTACTGCTGTGATATACCAAAGAGCAGAACCTAAAACTGTGATATAATCCAAACTGTTATATACTAAACATAAAAAACTGTGACCTAAAAGCAGAACTGTTATATGTATGCTGCTCAGAATAAATATGCTTCAGGTTTTATCTTCAGTGTATATAACCCCACGGGTATATAGTGCAAGCAGCTTCACAGTACATATATCCCCATGGGTATATAGTGTAAGAATCTTGATCAATTTAAAAGCAGAACTGTTATATGTATGCTGCTTATACCAAACATGTATGCTGCAAAACTGTTATATACCAAACATATAATCCAAACTTTTATGTATGCTGCTTTATGTATAACCAAAAATGTTATATGTATGCTGCTCAGAATAAATATGCTTCAGATTTTATCTTCAGTGTATATACCCCCACGGGTATATAGTGCAAGCAACTTCACAGTACATATACCCCCACGGGTATATAGTGTAAGAATCTTGATCAATTTAAAAGCAGAATTGTTATATGTATGCTGCTTATACCAAACATGTATGCTGCAAAACTGTTATATACCAAACATATAATCCAAACTTTTATGTATGCTGCTTTATGCATAACCAAAACTGTTATATGTATAACCAAAACTGGGTAAAACACTTTAACCTAAAAGCAGAACCTAAAAGCAGTCTAAACTGTTATATGTATGCTGCTTTATGTATGTTGCTGTTATATACCAAACTGTTATATACCAAACATAGTCCAAACTGTTATATACCAAATATAAAAAACACATTGACATGATATAATCCAAAACTGTTATATTCATGTTGAACTGCAAAAACTGAAATGAACTAAACTGAAACAATCCATATATTAAAATCCAACTATTACATTCATGTTGAAGTCATACAAACTTTAACTAAACATAATACTTCCAAACAAACCGTAATAACCTAACTACCCCTAACAACTAATACAATGATAATCATCACAAACATCAAATTCAAAATCTTTTTCCACTTCATGATATTCTTCATTTCAATTTCAAGTTTCATCAGCTTTTTTCCTAATTCTTCATTTTCCATTGTTGCTTTTTCAATGTCCTTTTTTGCTTCAGCAAGTCCCTTAGTTACCACACCCAGCCTATGGATCCAAAATTGCTCCTTCTCATCACCCATCTCCTCATGAAATCAATCAAAGAAGCCACAACCAGCTTGCATGCCTCCCTGTAAGATTCATTGTTTAGAGGATGATGGATAATAAACAAAAACATCAAAAAACAGAAACATAAACATAATTTACACAAAAACATAACTTCAACAGAGAACAAAACCAGCTTGCATACCTTATAATTTGGACAACCCAAATTTTCCCCCCCATATTCTTAACAGTAGTTGCCCTTTGAAGAACAACCATGTCTCCACAATGGCACATGGGCTTTCATCGTGACCGACTACAAACATCTGAATCCCGACTTTTCGTTTTTGAAATGGAAGAGGAACATCCAGAATTCATGCTTGCCCTAGATTAATTTACGGATTTGTGATTGTGATTGGGATTGGGATTTGGGATTTGAGATTATTTTAGGATTTTCAACAGAAGGAGGAGGGAGAAGGAAGACACATCATGAACAAGATTGCCACCTCATCTGCCAGATATACAAAACAAACGGACGTTTGGGGGCAACTGAAGGTGAGGACTAAAATGACACTATTTTAAAAGTTAAAGGACCCATTTGACACTTTTTAAAGATAAGGGACCAAAATGGACCCCGAGCTAATGTTAAGGGACCAAAAAGGTTATTTTGCCAAAAATGTCATATATGTGATAACATCATAGTAATAAGAAATTCATGTTTTATCAGTATTCTTAATTTGTGTGACACATCTCTATTATTATTTTGATATTTTGAGTAAATACGTTTGAAAGTGTCAAGAGAGGTAACAACCAATATACTATGGAATTTGATTAAACTGCCACTTTATATTGAAACAGTTACCAATAAGCAAGATTTCACACTCTCCATTCAATTGTCCATCTTCGCCACTACCATAGGCACCATCACACCCACCCATCTCATTTGAGTCATTGCACTCTTCTGCCGCCTCTTTAGGTAACACCAACGAAGAAGGAATGAAATTTTGCTCACCTGCAACAACAATCAAAACACCACTTAGATACTAAATAGATAAATAATAAAATAGAAAACATAAAACAACTATTAGACATGGAAACGAATAATTTACAATCATCGCCAATATATTTACTACCAAAATGGATTAATAGAACATACATAAGAAATGCCTAAACATTACAATGTCATACTAAACACAACCACCAAACAAAACAACAACAGCAAAATTAGACTTAGCATAATACACTCTTACCCAAACATCTGAGACTACAACAACATTAACTACATTCCACCCAAAACAACTGCGACGATAGCAGAACAAAACTAAAAGCTTAGCAGATTGACCTAAAACAACATCAACCTTATGGAAACCACTTAATTATCTGTTAGTGTTGTTTATGGGCATATATCGGTTTTCATCTCTGAACTTAGTTAACACTCATTTCTTTAATACTTTTTCCTTATCTAGGTTATACATTTCCTAGTTTAGCGCACCTTATAAGTTATCTCCTGTAACAATTATCTTTGTTTTATATTTCCTCAGGTGCCATCTTTTTCTTTTCTGTTTATAGTTCATTGCTTTCCCCTGTAGCTCTAGATATGGCCCACATAGAAAATGTATATGCTAATGTAATAAATATACCCAGTAGTGATTTTTCTTCTTTCTCTACTAGGGTTGTGACTCCTGAATGGTGAATAACCCTTTATAAGTTAATTAACATGTTGGGAACCTTGCCAGCAATAACTCTGGGTTTGGAGGGGATTCTGTTGAAGATAGTAATGAACCTTCTAGTTTTCATTATGTTGGAGGTGCCATGGATCCTGATCCCCTTCTTCCTCTTCTGTCTCATGTAGATATGAAACTTGCTAAGATTTGCATGAAAAGAACTACTGACTCGTTATTTCGTTAAATATTTTAGGGCGGAGCATGGTCGGGTCGTAATGTCAGGGAAATTAGAGATCATATTTTCTTTCAAAGCCATTCCAAGATTCATGACTGAAATTATATTTTTCATGAAAGCTAGGAGTATATGGTCAGGAAGGAACGATAAGGTTTGGTGCTACCTGAGGACGTCGTTCAATACCTCTGGGTGGATGAGGAATCTTTGGGACTAGTTTCTTACTTTAACAGTTTCGTCCAGAAGACCGAGAGACTCACCTGGGCGGTCGTGATTACAACAAGGAATCCCATACCTTACTTTTAAAGGCACCATATTATGGTTTTAAAAAATCAATTACCTCATTCACCAAGTTTTGAAGAAGCTGAATCTAGCAGGAAGAATGGTATCTTGTGAAGTGGAGTTATTTGAGTAAGATATTTAGTATATACCCTAATGAAGCATCAAGTACAAGTTCTACTTGATTTTCTGATAGAGTTCACCTTGTCGGAAGGTGAGAACACTCCCCACATATGAATACTATTCGAGGGCGGCGCCTTAAACTTGAAGGGAAGTGATGCTGAATTGGTACTAGAGAGCCATATGACCTCCTGATAGATCAGTTTTTGAAGTTCGAGTTTAAAGTCAACAACAATCAGGCCGAGTATGAAGCCCTCATTGCCGACATAGCCTTCTGCCTAGAGATGAGCACTTCAAGCTTTAAATCTATGAGTAATTCATGATTGATGGTAAAAACAAAGGATCCCAAGTTGATTAAATATATGAAAAATGTTCGTGAACTATCTGAACATTTTAAATTTGTTGAGATGACATATACGCCTAAGGAACAAAACTCTAGGGTTGATCTTATCTCCAAACTCGTCAGCACAAAAAGATCAGGTCATAATCAGACTGTCAATAAAAACTTTAGCC